TTGGGATTAAACAGGTTGGCCGCATGAGGCCCGAAAATGATACCGCAAAGGGTAGCCACGGTGGCTTCACCGATGTACAGCTTCTCCTTGACAAACAAAGAGCACAGCATGAACAGACTGGTGAAGCCACCAAGAATCATGTAAGCCAGATGCGGCTTATCGATGTCCAAATGGTCCCACGCCATGGTTGCGACGGGCGGACGGGATCCCGAACGAACTACAGAGGTCGTGCGGCGGGCGCTTGCTCGAGCTGCGGGATGGCTTGATTTAATTCCTCCCCGCGCAGCCCGTGATCTTCACCCCGATATAGCCTTGCACCAGGCGCCGTAAATCCCGGAATTACCTCCACCGATCGGACCAATGCGCAATTTCAAGCAAGGGAGAACCACCTCAACTGTAATCAACCAACGCGCCGGGTTCCCGCATACCTCGGGGGATCAGGAAAACGCGGACCGAGCTGGAGGGCGACGGAGGCCGCGGAGAATAGGCGAGGACGGAGGAGGATAGGGAGGGGGCGAGGCAGCGCGGTCGTTCCCAAGGGCGTCGGGGGTGCGTCCTGCAAGGGGGAAGACGAGATGCCTAGGTGAGCGCTGCTGGACGTGAGATAAGTTCCGGGGAAAAGGAAGAAAAAGGGATGGTAGCAGAAGGAGGAAAAAAAGGAAAAAGAGTTGGTCCGTGTAACCATCGAGAAGGAAAGTAGACTATGAGGTGGGAGGGAGGGAGGGTAAGAGAGAGAGTGTGTGGTTCCGGGCTTACCAGAAGAGGCAATGGATGGTTTATCCGGAAGATCTCCGATAATACTGACCGACTCCGCCAGAAAAGGGAACCGCTCAAGATGGAAGATAAAAAGAGAAAGAGAGAAAGAGAGAGAGAGGTAGAAAGGTAAGAGGGATGCGGTCAGGGAAAAGAGAAAAAACCGGGGAGTTAGGGGAGGAGTGAGTAGAAAGTAGGTAAGAGGAAATGCGTCCCAAGAAAAGAAAGGGCGGGAGAGAAGAGAAGTAGTAGGGAAGTAGACTACTACTACCTAGTAGTAGTAATATTAGTAGAGACGGGGAAAGAAAGAGAAGCTCCAGGTTTCTCTCAGCCCAGCAGTGCCGGACCACCAAAGCAACCAAACAACTAAACACCAAGGCAGTAAAAGCGTGGAGGGACAAGAAAAGAAAAAAACCAAGAACGACTGGGCGTCTGGGCAAAGACTGGCGAATGGCCGGGACCAGAAGACCGGAAATTTCCTTCATGAAGATGATAGGGATACCAAGACCACAACCAAGCCCGAGACCCAGTGCCCGAGCGGCATCGTGACGCTTGATTTGATGCGAAGGTTGGGAACTTGAAGAGGGGGACTGGATGCAGGCCAGCACCCGAAACGAAAGCGATTACGCAGGAAAAAGGTGATGGGGGCGAAGGAATCAGAAAGCGCGGATCAGACCGGGTGGGGAATGGTGCGAATAACTCTCTTTTTTCCCTGTACAACTAAAGTTTAGTTTAGTCAGTAAATAGTAAGAGGAGGGAAGCACCGAGAGAGAAAGAGAGAGAGAGTAAGAGGGAGGATCCATGGTCGTTCGCGGAACGAACAATTTTGAGGCTTGGCAGAGCGGGACTCTCATTTTTAGATTGCTTCGTTTCCTCTTCTCGCCCGTTTCTAGTCACTTTTTTTCTTCTTACCAGCTGTGTACTCTACAGTCTACACATCCTCCTCAGCTTTCTCTCTCTCTCTCTCTCTCTCTCTCTTCCCCCCCTTCTCTTCCTTCATTTCCCGAATATCCCTTGGCAATGACAAAGAGTACTTGGTTGGCATCCCACTTGGTGACCTCGCGTAGAAGAAGTTGAACCCGCTCTTTCAACTCGGCTTTCTCTTCTCCCTCCCGGTTCCTCCGGGACCTGATTCCATCCATCCATTGATAGTCACGATGTACTAGATAAGTAGCCGATTTTTCTTACTTCTCCCGAACATCAATCAGCAGCAGTACCACCTGTCTCTTTTGCCCCAGACTAGTTCCCCCCGAATCTGACCTACCGCTGGGGAGATTTAACGTGTAACCTGGAGATAGATAACTCGATAGATGAAAGGCCTAGATACTGTAACCAGCCAAACATGTGGCATGTATCAGATGGAAAATGCAGGATAAGCTTGATCTCGTGTCAAATCTCATCTCCATTGCTGCTCCAGACCATGACAGGTGTGAAGGGAGACCGTGTCACCAGTCACTGGTCACCAAACATTCTCCTCATCATCATTCAACACACACACACACACACACACACACACACCAGCTGGTACCAATCACGTATCATGACCTTTCCCTCTCTCTTTACATGAGATCGGGGCTGCAACCAACATCATCCACCTTACCCGCTCGGGCAAGCCGGGGGGCTTATCGCTCTTCGCCCTGCGAGGCTGCCGAGACTTTTCCTGCCGGACTTTATTGGCGGTGAGCCACGCTAACCCGTTAGTGTCAACTCCACAGTGGGGAGCAGCCCCTCCGTCCATCTGCCTCCTGCCCACTTAGAACTTCTTCTCTCGGCCGCCACTTACGCTGCTTTGCCCACGGTCTCTTTCCGCTTACTACCAATCTGGTAAGTCAGTGGTGGTTCAATCAATCCACCCACTTCCGTCTCCATTCCAGGTCCAGCACTCTCCGATTACTTCTCCCCAAGGGAAAGCACTCTGATTGACTGTTTCGGTTTGGTCTAGTGTGGACTAGATCCAGCGAGTCAGGTACACCAGTCAGTACTTAGAACAGGTACGCCTTCGCTTACTCCTCCTGTTGCCTTCATAGTGGACTTTACCGTTCAAGCTCTTCTCTGGAACTCCATCAGATTTGATTTAAGGTGCTCGCCATACCCCCAACTTATACAGATTATATCTCGTTGTCTATTCTTGTGGACGAGGACCGGAACTGGGCGGTTAAAATCTTGTGACAGACATCCAAAAATAGCCTTTACTTTTCTACTGCATATGAGAATCTCTCCTCGATATGCTTACAAGAGCATCGAAACAGACTGAAAGCCCGCAAACAACATGCTGCGTAATCATTTCACCTCCACAAAACCTACACTATCCTGACGTGTCTGGGTCTAGACAGCAGCAGCCATATCCCATGCAGATATTCCTGGTTTGGTAAGTAATGTGTGAGTGTGACAGACTGAAAATGCCCGCTCATAATTAGCCGCCCCAAACACTTGCAACTTGCATGATGAGTAGCAGGTGGGCTGTGCAAACAATTGACTCTGCTCTATGCTATTACGCCGGCTAAATATTGTTCACACTGCACGAGGAATGTAGGTGTGCATGCTAGGTATGTGATGCTGCATCGGTACTTTGCATCCAGACATACAAAGAGTGAACAAGAATAAAGTTCACAACAGAGCCCAATCCAATGCCCGTTTGCCTTGGCAGGCATGGAGACCCAATTCTAGCCGTTGAACGAGCTGCATGGAGGAAAGTCTTCATAGGTTGACTACTAGCTGCAGGGGAACATTGAAAGTAATGAAAGGACAAGACCAGTTGGATAGATCTATCACGTTCATTATGATAGGTAGTTGCCTCGACGAGGGCACGTTCGAGTGTCTCCCACCATCATACCAATTAAGCTTTGAGACAAACTCAATTATGTCTACCCTTCATTTGGAGACTCGAGTCTGTGTCATTGCAACCCCGCGGTGGTGGTCAAGTGGACATGATAGTAAGATGATAGCATCGAAGCATAATCGAGACGCTTTGAACTCTGTCTAGTTGTCTACTGTTACTTTCATATAACACTGTCCTATATACTGACTACATCTGCTACAGTGCCGTAGTAGTACATTCTGCAATACCAACTAACCAGTGAACATAAGCCGACCTGTCACATTCAAAGCTTTCTGCTCAATATCAAGCCATAATACAATGGAGAAACAACTATATCATAACATTTTAAAAATATGTCCATGTCACTTTGACTTAAGTATATCACAACCGGGATACTATAGCGGATATAATTATGCAATTAGTATTTATAAAAGTTCTATCAATAAAAAGCACTGTAACTGATTAGCTCCAGCAATAATTACTTATCAGGCATAATAACAGAAAAAAAAAAAAAGCAATATCACCACACCATCCCCCTCTACTAGTCTCCTCAATAGCACTAACTACTATTGAAGTTCAATTATAAAACTTGGGAAAGGTAACACAAACCCCATCGAACTAATTGTATAATAGTACCAGAGTCACTCCCACCTCCCTCCTCCTCCCTTTCCAAAAAGCTTTCCAATTACTCCAATTCCCTCCAATACATGCTTCTCATCTGGCCTAATAGTCGTAAATGTCAATTTGAAGCACTGGAATTTGAGGAATAATAATTCGATGCAGACGTTGATCAACCACCAACTCCCCCCCAAACCTGAATTACAAGTAGTAGTATGATGAAATTCACCGATGGATCTATCTATCTATCTACCTAGTACCTACTGCACCTGCAGTCTACGGATCTTGCTTGAGTCAGTCAGTGACTAACTGAGTACTTTACAGATAACCGATTACTACTACTACTACTACTCATTAGTAACTAGTATTAGCAATGCTCAGCAATCAACTACTAAGTAGTCATTATATGCAAGTAACCTGCATAGTAATATACTAATGAGGTCCACGTGAACAGGCAGGAACTGAATGACTCTCGAGAATTGATACGTATGTATGTATGTATGTAGTAACTTACTTAGTTCCTGACTGCAACTACTGCGTAGTTTTCTGCAAATAGCCAATGGTGGTCAGGGGTATTGTGGGTGATGATGTCTTCGCTTTTATTTAAACCCGGCTAGCGCGCGAATACACAATACTAGTTGTCTAGCTAATAGTTAGTATTGGTAGAATACCTCAATTGATGATATTTGTGGATGAGTGGTTAGCGATCATAATCTGTGGCGAGGGTTGAGAGAGCTTTGATTTCGAGTACTATGCATCTACAGAATGCGTGGATATAGCTCTAATGCCTGTTGGGGTCTACTACCTACTACTCATGGAAAATTTCGGGATAACCCACCAGTCACCTGAACTCAAGTCACCTGGGGGAGAAAAATTTACCAGCACGAGGCAGACGATGAATGCCTAATTTGACTTGGTTCTGCATGCAAGTGTGTTCTCTCTCCTGCAGGTCAGTCCCAAAAAGCAACCCAACCATGTGTCAAAAGATCATCCCTGCAATCTGCAGCCGACCACAGAGAGAACAGGAGTCGCTTGGAAGCATGACAAACAAACACATCACGGGCAAAAAAATTAAAAAAAGAAACAACAGATTTCAGGCTAAACAACACAGCAGCATAGATGGAACAGCGTCGTAGCAAACACAGCGGAACAGAGGGGGAAAATAAGCGAGACATTATGCGCGTGAGAAGCAAATAAACGTGACAAAATTCTGAGCAAAGACTACCGCCGGTAATCGCCGGTAATTCCCACATTGACAAGTCACACACGTTTATCGAGACATACGCGCCAACAGCGACACAGGGAACAGACTGGACCCGGTCGAAGTCTAATCACCCAGTGGCATGCCCTCCACTTGATCGCTCAGTGACCGCCAATTGTCAGCCTGCAGCTCCGAATATTTCACTCGCTCCTGGCTCCAATCCTGATGAAGCCGGCTGATGTGATACTGGCTCTGTTGGAAATACATAAGTTCGTTGCGGATGCATTCCTTGATGAACACCCCACGTGCGTGCTGATGCACAATCGATTCCTTGTCCTACAGCAGTAACATGCAAGGTCAGCCTTTTCCTTTCCCTTTCTCATCTTCCACGCTACACCCTCGAAATTGTAGAAAGTCCATACCTTGACAATTGATTCCTCTACTTTCTCAACCTCCCCTGGCTTGACCGGCTGGGTCCGCGCCCGTAATTCTTGCAGTTTTCTCTCGCTGTTCTCAATCCGCTTTTCTAACTGAGGAATGTTGTTGCGCGCATAACGGTCCCGCCGGTCAAACATCTCGCGAACGCTGACCAAGCAGTCTCGTTGGCGCTTAAGGTCTTCCAGCATCCCTTCCTCCCAGGCTCGTGCTTCATCTTCCAGCAAGCTCTGACTGGCCGAGAGGTGCCTCGCGGTGGCCTTAATGCCTTCATTGAGCAACGGCACGTCGTTGGTGTCAAAGGCATACGTATCCCGCGTCATCTCAGTAAGCGACTGAAGGGCGAGAGAAAACCGCAGATGATCCGCGGCAAGCCCCTCATTGCGCTTGGCTAGACGCTCGAGTAAAGTGCATAGATTGATGTATACCTCCGCAGACCTCTTGACCCCACTGCGAACCGTATCGAACATGTCCGTGAGGTCCGATGGTAAAGAGTCCTCAAGATCGGGAGGCAGGGCTCGGCCGGTGAACTCATCCTGTACTGATATTGTGGCTTGCTTACGCCACACCGAAAGTTCCTACCCAGCATTAGCTTCCCCAGCTAGAAGTACCCAGGTCGAGACAACCAAAATCAAACATACCGTAGGGACGGTTAGAAACATAATGACCAGCTGCTCCTGGCTGAGAACCGGGTGACGAACGAGGGCATTGGTGAATCTGACGAGTCCTCTGCGACGCTTCTCAAGGAAGGAATTGGAATCCGCTGCAAGGTGAGTGCCATTGACTTTTACCAGGTAAGTAATCTTGGAGAGCTTTTAACAAGCTTTGTTTAAACGTACCTGAAAGTCTTTTGGGTGGAAGCAAAGGCAACTGCCGGAATGGGTATCGTTTGTGAAGGCAGTCCAGGAGCCAGACAAAATCGCTATACCGTCGCACGACCGTGCTCTGCCTACGCGCCGACTTTACCTCGTAATTGCGATGTTGGAACATGAACATGCCCTCCTTCTCCGGGAGTAGCGTTATCGTTATGACTTCTTCTAGACGGGGGCTGCTGACCCGGCCTATCCCCAACGACCGCCGACGGGGATTGGGCTCGCCCTGATCACTTCCAGAGGAGCCAAAGTCTCCAAGCCCTGCTCGGACAGGCCCTCCTAGTCCACCACCACTGCCTTCAGATGTATTCCCCGTGCTCTCGCCCCACCCAAATCCAGTATTGCTAGGTGGAGCATCGGCATGGCCGTTGGCACGGCCGTTATCAGACGCTCCGTGTGTATGATCCCCCTCACTGGCCCTACTCGACCAGGCATTGAATCCCGATCGCACGCTCCCAAACCCATTCAAGACGGCGTGCTCAGATTCGGTCTGGGCATGATTGTGACCACGGTGCAGTTGGGGACTACCCCACGGATCCGCCTCTAAGCTACCCATCGACCCTCGGGCAGATCGTCGCGACTGAGTCGAGCTCGGTTCTCGTAAGGGGGCGGAGGAAGGAGGAGGAGGAGGAGGCGTAGCGGGACGGTCTTGTGACTGGACAGGTGTAGCCGATGATTCCTGTTTGGCGCGCAATGCGTCGAGGTAAGAGCTTTTCGGCACTGGAAGCTCTGCACGCCGCGCCCGTTAGTGGCTTAATTAAAGTAGACAAGTTCCAGCGCCAACTCACTCTTGCGTCGATCGTCCACTGCATCAAACGTAAGGTCCTCGCCTTCCTGCGCAAGACCCACGAGCGCTAGTAGGACACTGAACTCTCCCCGGCCAAGACCATTGGAGCTGTCACTATCGCCCGAGATAACAAGGTTGAGTATCTTCGCTTGATCGGTGGCGCTCAGGCCACTGCCCGACAGTATTTCCCGAACGGACGTCAACCCGACACCGGTTCCAACGCGGTCCCCCGCACTAAGGACTAGATCATACGCATCGATATAGTTCTCGGGGACATCAGAATCCGGCAGCAGGGTCTTCACGATCTCTTCCTTGGAGGTTCTCTTATTGGTGTTACTCATCCAGGGTGAGCCGGAGCTGTCGTCATCGGCGAACAGGGAGGAGCTCGCATTGCCCGTATTGCTGCCATACGGCGGCTCGTCTGCGAAAAGGGAGGCCTTGGACCTCTGGGCCGAATTAGCCAGTGGGGAGTCCTCCGGCGAGGTGCCGAACAGAGACATGGAGACGGTGGTGGCTGGGGACGATGGATGCGACTGTTGATAGGCAGTGACGAAGCGGAGCTCGGTCGGAGAGGAGCAATGAAGTGATAAGTGCTGCGCGAAAAGGGCACCACCACGACAGACACCTCTACGGCCACGGAGGGTTAGAGAGGAGCAGATCAAGCAGATGGTGATAATAGTAGGCAGCCGATTGAAATAATAGCGATGAACAATCGGGTGCCAACGAGGGAAAAGGGCCTGCTCTTCCTCGGGGGTTGGATGATAAGACAGCAGCAACGCGTGCAAGTGAGCGAGTGTCTCTTGTCTCTTTGGGGGAAAGTCGGCGCTCCACCGGCGGGAGGCGCTAGTGCGGCTGGCAAGTCAAGGGCCCCCCCTCTCGACAACCATGGTTCAACTGCACTTTACTCTGTCATCAGCAACACATCTTGCACATTATTTCTATTTCTTCCATCTGGTATCTAGGTATCTATATACGTTCGCTTAGAAAATGCAGTCGCGTCCATCTCGTGCATCTATCCGCCGCTAGATGCCCCCTTCACTTGAACTCTCCGATGTTTGCTCATGGCATTCCGGCATTTCCCCACCGGATGGGACCGCAAAATATCCCTTCTGCACCAAGACATCTTGCCATTCTGGCTTGCCAGTGGCTAGGATCAATGATGGATTCGCATCGGATGCGAACCACCTTTCTTTCCGCGTATGAGCCTTGCTCCCTCCTTCTAGCGCCGCTCGGCTAGCCCTGGTCTGTCGCCCGCGTTTCGTACCGCTCTGGTCCTCGGAGAGCGCGCCGGTCAGCAAATGGCGATATCGTGCAAGACGCATGTCATAGGACATGATTGCCCGAATGTACGGGCCTAGATCTTCGGCGATAGGCGCTAGGCCATTCTCAAATGAGGGGGCCAAGCGTCCCGTAGGTGCAGGAAACACATGGTCAGCCCGCATAATGGGCGCGAATGCGGAGAGAAGACCTGCTTCGGACGTATTCGCAGACTCGGGCTTAGCGACATTCTCCAGCACCTGGGCGGCTCGAGCGGCCTCGTCCTGTCCATCTTCATGCCGAAAGGCTCTCCCAAGCAGGACCTCAAAAGTACAAGCAATGGCAGTTTGCGTCTGCGAATAGTCAGGTACGAGAGAGGTGTCGAGTAAGGTGTAGCCTTCAGCGTAGTTCGATCGCTGCTTCTCGGGCATGAAAGGAGCCGAGGTATCCACAATATCCTAAAGAAAAAAGTCAATGTCTGCTAGTCATGTGGTATGACAGACGTCATGGCTTACCAGTTTGGCTTCGATCGAGCAAGAGGAGCCAAGAATATCCAGGTCGCTCTTCATATCCATGAACTCGGACGCCTGCCGTAACTGATCAAGCCGCTCGGCGTTCGTTGTGGCCGAGACTGGGTTCAATGGCGATTTGGAAAGGTTAGACTTGGCGTCAGCTTTACTCTCCGACTCTTGGGTGCTGAGCTGCCACCAATTGAAGGCCTCGCGCTGGGTCTCTATATCAGCGTCTATGCCGTCGCACAACAACATATCGCGACTAAACCAGCCCATGTGTGGTTCGTAAGTGTTCAAACTCAGCACTCGGAGCGGATCGCCATTCTGGTCGAGATCTGAGCCCCGTGGCCACCGGTCGATAATCCAATCGAGACCAGACTTTTCGCTCCCGACTGCGATTTGGCACCAGAATCCGAGTTCCATGACGGTCCGTCGAAGGTCTCTGCCGTTGCTCGCATATAGGTCCTCAACAGCGTTGCGCTTGAGCATGTGGCCCTCATTTGCTGCCAGGAGGAGGGTGTAGTCGACGGCAAGGTCTAGTGGAGGAGGTCGATAGCGAAGGATGGCATGAAATCCTATGTCTTGAAGAGGGATAAGTTTCTCGTCGTTACATGTTATGATGATTGGACGTTTCGACTGGTTGATTAGTGCCATGACTCCGGACCAGAACTGCTTATCTTCCTCGAAAAGAATGTCAGCTTCCTCCAACAATATAAGTGATTGCTTCTGGTTCCGAGAGCGCTTGATATCGGTCACTTGAGTGGCGCTATTCACGTCGACCCTGGGAGCCCCGTTGGAGTCTTTAGCGGCTCCAGACTTGAAAAAGCCCATCAATTTGTTTTGCTTGTGATCGGGTGGCGCTTCATCCGGCCCATCTGCGACAGATACTTCGCCAGTCTTCGCGTTGTGGACCAAATGATTTCGTGTCATGTCACCCACACGCTCCACGATATCTCTGGCACTACGGCGGTTACCCGGGTTGATTTCGAAAACTTCAAAATCAAGTTCTTTTGCCACCGCGTACACTGACGCCGTTTTACCACATCCCGGAGGACCACTGAGGAGAATTGCGTTGGATACGCGAGCTCTATCAGCGCCTGACTTTGAACTCAGAGCCAGGTCATTGGACCGGACCAGGGTTCTCTTAGTGGTGACATCGCCCGCTAGTTCATCATCTGATTCATTAACAGGGTCCAGTTCGTATG